TGAGAAACTTCAAATGACTAATTAATATACATTTAATTATACTTAAAAAGACATTTATAAAGTTAGCTTTATCCAACTAACTCTTTTCCCATAAGTAGCACTTATACCTTATTGAAGCACATGCAAAACATTATTCCAACTGAGTAATAGCCTATTCAACTTACAAAACCACATTTTTATTTGTGGCTATCATATAGGACTATGGCATGATAAATAGGCTATCTCTTATCTTTTTCTTTGTTTGAAGTCAATCGTCCACATAGATATGCTCTTACAACCATGACATAAATTATAATTAACACATTATGGCCCCTTTCAACATGCAGTTTTGAGTACTTTAAAAAAGTAGAAAAATTGATTAGATTAAAGTCAAGCTAATTTTAATTGACTTGGCAAGGTTCTTCATGAAGCAAACAAATGTTGAAATCAATTTTTTCAGTTCTGTAGGTGTAGTACAAGCTGTTCTTGGATAGTTAAGATTTATTTGTTCCAACAAATATTTATTGAATGCAAAATACATTCGTTTCTAAAGAATCATGAAGGGAAAGACAATAGCTAATACATGCTATGCTAAACAAAAAACTTTAGTAAAATCCATTTTGCTCTGTGTCAAGAATAGTTTTGGCTATGTAACTAAAAAAAGTATATCTAACTCTACAAGTATATCTAACTCTTACATAAAGGGAGAATGAAGTTAAGAAGTAGAAGACTGATATGGTGGTGACTCCACAAAGTCTTCAGGGACTTAGGCTTTTTTCCCATCATCACTCCCGTATCCTCAGGTTGTGGCCCTTGTCCTCATGGGCAAAACAGGATACTAGAGTTCCAGCTATTACATTTATGTTCTAGGCAGTAGATGGTATAAAGACAAAAAATAAAGATAGGCCTTGTCCTTTTAAGAAAGGTTTCCAAAAGTTTCTCCCAACATTTCTGCATATATTTCACAGACCAGAGCTCAGTCACATGGTCATTCCTAGCTGACTAATACCTAGTTGGATAGGATGATATAGTGCCTGGCATTACAGGTTCTACTTCTGTTACTATGGGAAATTTATGGTAGCTATATTGGGAGGCAAGCAACATCTTCTGCCATATGGTTCCATTCACAATGAAGATTTAAAATTTCCAAAGCCCTTCCAGCCTGATAGGAAGACTGGTGCAAGAAATAAAGTAGGTGCTAGGTGAATTTAGGATGGAAATTAGGATAGCTAATTGTTGTATTCAGAAAGGGACTCATCTTTCTAAATAAGTTGCTTGCCAAACTGTATTAGTTCACCTTTGTGATTATTCATTATCTTCGCACTCTGTAAAATTTCAATTTACCCATGAAAAGAATAGACAATAGCCACAAACATGGAGTATGTAATCTAGATGTTCTCAGTGTTCCAATGATTGAAGGGTTAATTTGGCATTGTTTAGAAAGTCGGGAATGACTGCTGTTAAAGAGAGAAAGCACTTGAACTGAGTAAAATTTTCACACACAATTTTCTCTGTACATGAGCTGGATATCCACAACCAACTTCTTATTAAATTAACAACAAAGGCACAGCACACTTACCTTCACCTTCAGGAATTACCCAAGGTCAGTTCCCTTCCATTTTTGCTACTTCATGACAGGAGTCAGCATTTAGCCGTCACCTCCAGGACCTTGGCAAACTGCCTTTCAAAGGTTGTGAACTCTATTGAGAATAATTATGTGGATATTGAACTGATATTTTTCACTTTTTATAGTTAAAGTGATCAGGAGCGATGTGACTGTTGGCAGAACTTGGCTTACCAAGTTCTCCTTTTAGATAACTACCAGTGGAAAAATGACGTGAGCACCCTCATCTGCTGTAGCGTTCAGGAGAATAGTTATCACGCAGCACTAGATCCTGAATTGGGCCTAAGTTCAAGAAGAGGAGAAAAGAAAGTGCATCCCCAGAGTGAGAAAGTAGATATTTATTAGAGACATATGGCACTTGCACAAGGAAAAGTGCTGATACATTGCAGGTGGTACTGGCCACATTGTGGTGTCAGCAATGTCACATCAGCAGGTCAGATCAAACTTCCACAGTAATCAACAAGGGCTCTGACATGGCTGGCACAAAGCCAGATGAGAACCAAATCCCATCTTGTAGCTACATAAAACCACTTTATTTTGTGACTAGCCTTGCACACTCATGAAACATTTGACAAAATGCTATGGTCATTTAGGAAGTCATCCACATTTCTGATGGTTTCTCAGGCATCTTTCTATGACCAATAATAAAAATAGCAATAGCTAACCCTTATTGAGTTTTTACTGTATGCCAGTCACTATGCTAAATTTATATTCATGTTGTCTCACATAATAATGGCTATTTGCCAAATATTATCCAGTCCTGTCTACTATCCTTCTAATAGAATCTTCAGTGAAAAAGTCAGATAAAGAATATTACCTTTAAAACCTCTATCTGTTTATTCAAGAGGAACAAAAATCAATATCAGTGTAATCAACCATAGCATAGCCAAGGAGCAATTTTGGAAGGAGACATTTCTAAAATATAAGAATTTTATGATAAATTCTGATTTATTTTTGGATGATACATTATTCAGAAGGGTAAAATTTCCAAGACTTTTTCATCAGGCTTAGAAAATCTTCTAAATCCTTGAACTTCAGCTTAAAATGCAGAAATGATTCTTAAAACTTATAGCTCTGGTCAGCTGAGTTGTTTTTCTTATAACTATCTTTTCTTCAAAGGTTTCCTGCTCAATGAGAAAATTCACAGCCCCTGAGTATTTATGTACCAACGTTTCTGGTACATACAAGGAATATTTAAAAGCTATTGACCAGATTACTTCTTTCAATGGCAAGTCATGATCATTTCACAGAGAGTAAGAAAAGACACACAAAATAACAAGGGCATAACATAAGTCATATCTTAATGCTCACATTTTGAATCTTACATGTTTTAATCATCAACAAAATTGGTAAAAAAATAATTGTTGTTTGTAGTCAACATGACCAGGGTTAAAAATCCTGTTGTACCCCTTTTTTTATATGCATCCTGTGTAAATTACTCCATTTATCTAAATTTTTTTTCAATAAATACCATACTATACTGTGTATGGATTAGAAATAATGTTTATAAAGCACAGGAGGTATTTGATAAATGGTAGCAAGTACTATTATCATTTTTCTAGTTTTAAAATAAACTAAATGATATAGAGTAAATCCTGTAAAATGAGTGAACATGTGGAATACAATTTCAACCCTTTTTTAAAGGAATTCGTTTAATTCCTTTAATATTGCCTATTAATGTTCTCTTTCAGAATTAAAAAAATGTGAATTATGAGATATGAGTTTACCAGAAGCAAATGGTTTTTTATTCAAGCACAAACAGTATTAGGCTACGTCTGGGATTCGCTCACACTATTGGGATAGGTAAACTTTAGTTAAAGGAAGCCAGGAGACCAGGTTCTTAGCTCTGCTCCAAAACTTATTCTGGAGCCTTAAGCTACATTTTTCTAAGATCTTAATGATCTTAATGTAGAAACGAGAGGTTGGATCAAATAATGTGCGTGGCTTCTTCCTGTTCAACAAACATGTCTTCAATATCGTGTATAAAATTCCATCAGCAGAAAATAATTTCTTTACCTTTAGACATTGGCAGGCAGCATGGTAAATGGAAAGAACACACAGTTTGAAGTCAGACTAAACTGAGTTCCAATTCAGCTTCACTTTGTAGTTATATGACCTTTTACAAAGTTACTCACCTTCTCTGAGGCCGATTTCTCACTTGTGAAATGTCGATAATAATAGCTACCTGCTGAGAATGTTATGAAGATTAGAGACATTATAGGTATTCAATAATTGGTCTGGCATTCAATTAATCATTGCTATTATTTCCAGAGTCCTCCAAGAAAATGCAAATTCAACAAGAAGGATGATATTGTGGAACTTTTCTGGTGCTAGGAATAAAAAGCCACTTAAAACTCAATTAAATAAATCAGAGATGTGAACTATTGGTGTTAATAAGTTTACATCCATTCATGGATCTCAAGACTGAGAGTATCTGGAACCAGGAATTGAAAATAAATTAAGCGCGTGCTTTCTCTCTCTCTCTCTCTCTCTCTCTCTCTCTCTGTCTCTCTTTCTCCCCCTCCCTCCCTCCCTCTCCCCTATGTGATGTGTTACCTTCTGTCAGTGCCTTTCTTCCTTTCTCTCTCCTTTCTTTTCTCATTCCATCCCTAACACCCCCAGCTCCCAGAAACCACATCTGTTTCTTTTATGCCCACAGAAGATCTTTAATTGACTAACATCTATTTTACTTGGGAGAAACACTAGGACATGAGTACTACCAGAGGCTGAGGCCATTTCTTGGGGTTGTGTTGTAGGAAGTCTCAGGATGGGTGCATAGGAGGACCTAGTACCCCACCTATTGCAAAGAGCTGCACAAAATGCTTGTTACACCTTAAAATTAATTTTCTGATGATAAGATGTATAAAATTGGAGTTACGGATGGATACAGCTCTTGAGGGGACTGAAGATTATATAATTTTGAGAAACCTCATTTGAGCAACAAATAAAGTTATTGTCTTAATTTGTTTTGTGCTACTATAACAGAGTATCACAACTAGATAATGAATAAAGAACAGAAATTTATTTCTTACAGTTCTGGAGGCTGAGAAGTTCAAGATCAAGGTACCTGTAAGTTCTGTTGTCTAGTAAGGGCTGCTTCTTCTGGAGAGAAGGAACCCTGTGTCCTCACATGGCAGAAGACAGAAGGGCAAGCCTACCAAATGCTGCAAGAAAACTTTTTTATAAGGGCCTTAATCTCATTCACAAGAGACTAACCCCCATGACTTTTTACTTCTTTTTTATTATATAGATGTGGGGTACAATTCAGGGTTAGGTATACAAACATGATTATGCAGATACCCTTGTGGATGAGGTATGCCCTTCCCTCCTCTAGAAGTTTACCTCAACTGCCAATCCCACCCCCCTTCTCTGACAGTTTCCCATTACTTCCGATTCCTTTCTTTTTTTTTTTTTTGTTTTACTTAATAAAGTTTTATTTTTCCAAATGTACAGTTGGTTGGACCTGTTCATGCATTTTCACCAGCAGCTGGGGCATCTCCACCCTTGGTATTTCTAGTGTAAATTACTTGAGCTCTGTGCTTTGAAACCAGTTTGATAAGACCTTTACTAAGGAGCTCCTGAAGGGCTGCCCTGGCCAGAGAACCAAGAATCTTCAGTCTCTCAGAGACCACTGCTGGAGTTATAAGCTTGTAATTGGGAACTTCCTTGCAGAGTTTGTCATACGTGGCTTTGTCAAACAAGACTAGGTTATTAAGCTTGTCCCGAACTTTGCCTTTAGACCACTTCTTCTTTTTAGCCTTGCCCCAGATTTGTTCACTGGGTCTTTGTCTTTCTTGGCCGACTTTCTGGCATCTTTCTTCTTCTTGTCATCCTGGGCGGCATTGCGAAGCTCGGAGAGCAGCAGACACCACTGCTGCCTCGCTAAGATGTCGGACAAAAAGGAAGCCGATTCCTTTCTTATAGTATTATAATTGTTCAAGTTCCGCTTATGAGTGAGAACATATGGTACTCTGTCCTTTGTTTCTGCGATAGATCACTGAGTATGATCAACTCTAAATCCATCCAAGTTGCTGCAAAGTCCATATGCTTGTTGTTCTTTATGGTTGCATAATATTCCATTGTGTATATGAACCACATTTTTTTATGGCCTTATTACTTCTTAAAGGCTTTACCTCTATTCTTGCTCATTAAGTTTCAACACCTGCATTTTGGAGAAAGCACATTCAAACCATTGCAGTTACAAATCCAGAATTTCATAGAAAAATGAACATTCACATAATATGAGAAAAGAAAGCATAGCAAACTATACATTTTATGAAAGTTGAAAAGTAACACAAATGTCACAGAATCTAGAAAATAATATTTCTATGAATTTTGTAACACATATTTATAATAATTTTTTCCACATTTTTTAAGCTGCATACTTGGTGATCACCTCTTTGTGTAATAATACTATTTATATACTATTTTCTGTAGAGAGAATACAAAGGTAATGCTGTCTTTTCTCTAGCATGGATGATCAAAATTTATTTTTGTCTAATTGATCATTGAGTGCATAAAACAAGTACATTTACTGTGTAAAGTACTATTATAGGTTTGTTTCCTTAAAAAAAGATTAGAATTCTGATCACTGCTGCTTTATGAATTCATTTTTTAAAAGTAGCAAACCCTGCTTTATCAATTCTATTACTGTCAAGAGAGAACTCCTTGATTTAACATTCATTCGATCTAAATCATCTATTTACCAGTTTACACATCTGGTGCTTAGAAGAATTATCCACAGACTACTCTCTTGCTAGTCTGAGAATCTACACACTTGTGAGGGTGATTTAGAATATATATGTAGCAATACAGATTCTAGCGTTTGTGCCTTCATGTCAGGTTCAGGAACACTAGCTCAGAGGGTGGTAGATGTTGTTCTGGAAATAATTCCTACACTGGGACATCTATAACAATAATAACTATTTATTTATAGAAGTGACTATATGTAGCCCCCTAAACTCAAGCTAAATGTATACCCAACTTGCCCCTTTGTCAGATCCCAGAATACTCCAACACTCTGTATCCATAGGGGAAATAAGGAGGGAAAGTTGAAGTGAAAAGAGACAGTTGTACTAACCTACAGTGATTACATTACTTTGGAGAATTAAACAAATATGTATATGACACTGTGAAGACATTGCTAGACGTCCTCACAGGGCCCTGAAGCTTAAGCTTCATTGACTTCACCATCAACCGGCATCCAGCTAGGGTAGATGAGAGATTGTGATAGGTCAAGCGCCCAGGGTTCTGCTGAGAGATGACAAGCCGGACTGAGGTAGAGGGACACTGTTCCTGAGAGGTCAGCTTGAGAGTTCTGGGTGATCAAAGAATGAAGGCTGTAGGAGGGATACTGGTAAAGTAGATGAAGTGACAGCAATGACCAGCTTCACTTGTTACCAGAGTTTGTCCACAGAGAATTCTACATTTGCTGACTTTTCCCAGATGCTTCTGCTTCAGCAAAGCTAGCTCATCTGGTCTCAGAACTGAGACTCTGTTAAGTCAGATAATACAAGAAGTTGTTTTAGATAAAAGAGGCATACAAAAGCCACCAGTTTTATGATTGTCAGAAAGGGAGAGACAAAAGTGACAACTCAAAGAACAGAACGACACTTTTAAAAAAATGTTCATAATGGTTGTTAAAAATCAGTGACAAGTAAAAGAAAATAAAAGACACAAAATAAATACCTTCATGAGCTTTCTTTAATTCAAATGCTACTGTGCCCAAGGTAAACATGCTACCACAATACAGTGAAACACAGCTAAGTCAGTCAACATATAAACTTAGACCATAAATTATAGCTCTGCTAAGTAAAATCATTAGAAACTGATATGTTTGCTTGAAAAAGGACTAAACAAGGAGAGAGAATTAACAGAATAGAATTATCCTATGTACTGATGGTCAGTTATATACCATTAAATGAGTGATATGTTGATAATGAACTTTCTAGAAGAATATTTACACATACATTGTTAAATATGAATGAATGGTGAGGCTAAGACTAAAAATCACCTTACAGATTGACTAATGATGTTATATCAGTCTTCCAACAATAACAAAATTATTGTGTATTCACTATTTACTATTTCCAGGCCTGCACTAATGTTTTTCATATGTGTCATACAATCACCCATTCTTCACAGATGCCTTATGAGACAGGTATTTTTATTTCTTTCATTTCCCAACTCTTTTCCCAGTTATCTCCTAGTCTTGTCTCAGTTTAAATATTTCACTACTCAAAATAAATAAGATGTCAACACCTTCTCTAACTTTCTTTTTCAAAACAAGCTAGTCTTTCTTTACAGCACATATCATAACATATAATTATGCCTTTATTTATTGTTTACTGATTTTTCTTCTGTCGTCCCTCTACCACATAAGCTCTATGAGGGTAGAGAGTCCTGTTTTGTATCCCTAGTAGGTTCAATAAGTATAGATTGGTGAAATAAACAAATGATGAAAAAACTGAGGCTTATCAAAGTTAACAAAGGCCGTAACTAGGTAGCAAAACATGATTCAAATCAAATTGTCAGTGTATTCAAAACCCTTGGAATTAACCATTCTGTTACCCTGTTCATGTGAGCTTGGCTACATAATTAGCAGGGCCCACTATAAAATAAAAATGTAAAGCTCTGTTCAAAAGGCAGGGGACAAGTTATTAAAACAAGAAGCTTTTTCCTTTCTTTCACAGATTCTCTTGACTTGTCACATTTTTATTTGCTGCTTAATGTGACTCTAAGTAAAGAAAACTTAAAACTTTAAATTATTATCATGAATTTTACCATTCACCTTTATGTTGTGAAATACCACTTTTAAATGTAAATATGAATACTTAATTTGTATGCAGAATCACCAAAATTACACAGCTCGTATTTCATAGCTTGTACATGCACATGTATTTTGTTCTTACCAGAACAGTAGAAACACTACACAGAACTGACTTAATTGTTTTTATGTCACTTCTTCCTTGTTGAACACATTAGACTCCCATTTCTGCCCTCAGCTTGCTGATAAGCAAGGAAAGACTGAAAGAAAAAGGGGCCAAGGATTGCCTATGTTTCCTCTCTACGTTTCTGCCATTTTAGCAAATGAGGGAGGATTCCCCCCCAAACCGGAACATATTTATTTTAAAAATTGTATTATTCTTATCTGTTTAAACTTCAATCACTTTCAAAGTACTCTGTGTTTGATGCAATACAACTGTCAAAATGCTTTTTCCACTGCTCAAAATACTTTTTGAACTTGCCCATTCTGATGCCTTTTAATGCTTCTGCCACTTTTTTTTCATCTCTTCCACATCAGCAAAATGTTTCCCTTTGAGGACTTTTTTCATCCTGGGAAGCAAAAAAATATATAGAGAGAGAGAGAGAGAGAGAGATTGATTGGGGTGAGATCCGATGAATAGGGAGAGTGGAACATGAGGATCATGATGTTTTTTGGTCAAAAACTGCACGATATGGGCAGGTGTGCTTGTAAACCACCTATCGTGAAATGGACAAATGCTGAAAGTATCTAAAAAAAATTCACTGACGCCAAACTCAGCCTCTCACAACAACGCTAGCTGGTACACTGTGCCGATAGGTTCCTAGAACACTTTCCGAGTGGAGGAAGCCTGTACTACAAGGAGCCTGCCCTCCAAAAAATAATTCCAGTTTTTGGGGTCCCCCCTATAAGTGGTTGGCTAATAGAAGAACGTACCAGGAGTAAGAAAGAATGTGGTAAGGGTTCTCTGGTTGGTCATGGCTCTTAGAATGGCACTCTTTCTTTCCATGTCCAAAGCAAATTCCGGTTTAAGAACAAAGTGTTAATTTTGAGGGCTCTCAATGCCCCCTGCTTACTCAAGGAAGATGTAACGCTCTTCCTTTAAACTGGCTTTGAGTCTTGCTGAACTCCACACATCATGAGTCCACCTGAATTCTGTACTTATGGGACATGGTGTATGCAATTGGGGTAGCAAGGAGTGGCAGCCACACATGTTGTATGTCTCTCCTGAGGTCCTGCTCATGTGTCATTGTCCCACTGAATTTCAGCTGCAAAACACAAGATCAAAGACAAAATTACGAATTGCAAAACAGAAGCCATTAAACCCAGCACAAGGCCTTGGTGAGCCTGTGGCCCTTCTTGTCAACTGCACAGGTCACATACCCATGAAGCTGACCCTATGTACTATCTTAATTTCCAGGATCCTCCTGCCTTGTACGTAATGACACTATATCCAAACTCCTGCAATAATTAAAGATATTTTACTAAATTAAAGATACCTGATTTCAGTACGCTGTGAGGACAGCAATGGATGACAAGTAGTTCCCAAGTCTCTTTTCAAACATCTGTGTTAACTGGCAAAGAAGGAAGATACATATGTTTGCACACCAGGAGTAAGAAATTATTTTTATTTGCAGACATTTATAATTGGTTTGCCATTGATTGAGCTATTAAATATTCAGATCTGAGCAGGGAGCAGGTAATTTAGTGTAGCTATATTTTCTCCCCTGCTTCATTATTGAAATTGAACAAAAGGAGGGGGCAAGATGGCGACCTGGCAACCCGGTATCTGAAGCCCTCTGCAAGGGAGATCTGCAGTGGGTCTCTGACTCTCGCCCCCGGGAGGCTGGGGACCCCAGCATTGCAGCCTACTCCTCAAACAGAGCTCGGCCATCGCTATCACTGGAACATCGCAAGGACTGGACATTTTTACTGCATCGTCCTCTCCCGCTGCTGCCGCAGCCCCTCCCCCCACCAGCGCTCCCGCCGCCGCCGCCGCCGTCGCCGCCGCCGCGCCTGCCGCGGCCTCTGGCACGGGTAGCTCATCACAACCCGGCCGGAGGAGATCCACATCAAACCGCTTCAGGGAAGATCTGCTGGGATCGCTGCCACCGCTCCTGCGACGGAGACTGTCCTGCCCACCCGGCGCGGGGCTCCTGTGCCTGCT